ATTCTATTCTCTACTGATCTAGTGATCTGAATATATTTACAACTTACATCTCTTTTATATAAGAACACACGGACCCCACGCATATGCATTTTAAGATTTCCTTGCCTGGCTGCCAAAAGGGCGCGTTTCAGCATTATTTCATTACTTGCATTACTCATGATGTTTCTTGCGCAAACAACTAAATTGCGTACACAAATTTACATTATCATAACTTCAATTATCTAATTTGCGCTGCTCTCGTGGTTCGTGAAGCATAATAAAGGGCGTAATATAAGGGCATAATGCCACGAAAAAAGGGCATAATTCCCGTGATCCCTTCGAAACCTGACCAATATTCCGGTAATGAGGCATTGCGTGTGATCACTGATCATGTTTCTATATGAACGATTTCGTGTGAGCCGTAAGGTAGCAAATTAGCAAATACGGTTGGACAAAATAGTCTATAATTTAATATATCACTTTGTCGCCTATATTCTTAGTCTGTTTATAAGCCTATAAACACATCTCGTCAGTTTCTTGGCGGAAGTAACTATATTTTTTCGAATTTCGCGTTTTTTTCCACCCACTTTCAAAATTCAGGGCGGGATCGGCGCCCCCTTTTCATTTTTGCGCCCCCCAAGAATTGCCAGCTGGGGGGGCCGTGGCCCCCCGGCCCCCCGGCCCCCCCTGCCAGCACGCCACTGTAATATAGTGACATATAATTTGTCGTTTGACTTATCTTTGGTGTATGATTTTAATACCGCAGATTTTCAACAGACAGCTATACTTTGACATATACCCATGATCGTTGGTTTCAGCAATGTCAAGGGGCAAATTTATAGTGTTTTGACGGGCTTTAAGTTTTTTTGATAAGGCCTTTATATAGATCAACAATCTGGATACAGTTGGCGATGTTTCGGAAATCAAAAGATCTCGCTACTTCGTTGCAATTCCACATCTCATCGATAAATAAATTATTTTGGTCCGAGTCGAGGTCCGAGTATCAGGATAGACATTAATACTAAATAAATAACAACCACACTGTTCGGTGTAGAGATCTATATTTTCTTGCAGGTTTAATATCGCCACGCTGCACAAGCGGCAAGCGTGCTTTCTTTGACAAGTCTATAAGTTGAATATTGAAATCTGATCCAACTTGCTTGAATTGTAACTCGACACCAAATTATAGAGTACAGCGTCACGATATAAATATTAATTTAAGATTTCTCTTTACGATTTCTTGTTGCAAATTTGCAGTAAATTTCATCACCCAAAGTTGCAATTTTAAAACGCTACAAACATGCTCCTTTCCCACCCGTCTCACAGTTACAATTGAATTTACCTCCAAAAATCTGGGAGACATGTGACCAGCCGCAGCCAGGGTATCTCCCAGATGACAGAAGGAGAGACCCTGGGAACGAGGCTGCGGTTTTCTCTCCTCCGCAGAGCCTCCTTAAGTATGTACAAAAAAACTTACATGAAGTTTCCTGAATAGAAGTGAGCGCGCGCGGTGTGATGGGAAGATTGAATTGAAGCTCGTGAGGCTCTGCCAGATAATTCAATGAAGCATGGATTTTGAACCAAACTAGTTGTTTGACCTTTTTTTTAAACTTGAAATCGACGGAAATGTGGAAGAAATTGAAATAAATCTTCATAATCTGAGTATGGAAGTTCATTAGAGTCATTTTTATAACGAAATGTTGCAAATTTAGAGGATATTTATAATTAAATAGCTCGTATCCATTCATATTCATATTCATTTGCAATTTCTCGATATTTTTCGGTGCAAATGGACAGAAGAAGATATTGATATTGGATGCATTCCAGGAGACTCAAGTACGCCTGAAAAGGAAAGTGGAAAACATGTTTTAACACCCTCGATGGTTGATATCGAACCGCACTACAAACGACTATATACGACGCCACATTAGTTGCATTCACTAGCAGAGGCTTCCTGTATTTAGCTCTTCCAATCATACCTTGCGCGCTCACTTTTCCCTCACTAGAAACTTCATGTAAGGCTTGGTTTGTGTTACCTGTCTCAGCCTTCGCCTTCAACACAAACCTCGGTCTTAATAATCGTCATATCCCACTCGATCTCATTCAAAATTGTTGAATAATGTATTCAACCACACACGTAAAAATCTCACAATCTTGTTGACATGTTGTTGGCGAAACAAGCTTGTAGTAAGCTTGTTGGCAAGTTGTAACAAAGTTTTTTATTGTATCAACTTGTAGCAAGTTTGTTGTAAACAAGCTTGTTACAACTTGTTGGTTTGCAGACCTGTAGGAAGTTGTTGGAACAACTTGTACCAAGCTTGTTGGCAAGAAGCCATATCATCGTCAAGTTGTAACAAGTCTGTTCCAGCAAGCTTGTTACTGACGTGACTGTGTTCACAGATCTATACCAAATCTGCCATCAAGTTGTAATGGCATTGTTAACGGCAAGATCTAGAGTTTTCAGAAACTGATTGAATTTGAACAATACGCAACATGATTCAAGAAAATGGACTTTGATTTAACAGCAAAATATAGAAAATGAAAATATTGAAAAAAAATGTGGGTAAGTGTCATAATTTAAAGTATTTGTTATTTAAAAAATTGTATCTCGATGAATATTAGCGACATTGAAATTATGAGAATTTTGTATTTGTCGGGCAATTTAATTTGCATCAACGTCCTGGCATATTTATGTCTAGCTCCCTAATATTTTCCCTCCCGTATGCCTCTGGTTGTGTTGGGTACTCTAACATGTAAATGTATCGAGGATATAAAATTCCTGTTTTGAAGGATAAATTTTCAGACAATTGGTTTCCCTTCGTTTGCCAGAACGGAAGTTCGTCCTTTAATCAATTCACTAAATAAGCAGAAAACCGAGAAATAAAGAGTACCTTGAAATTCGTTTAAGTCTTTTATGTTCAAGGCAATAATAATAGTCTACACGTTGTGTAAAGCGAATGTTTTCTTTGTAGAAATGGAATAGATCGATCCGCACGTTCTGCTGGAACGGTGAGTTAAATTTACTTTTGCATATATTAGTGCTACTTGTTGTTGGTTGATCTCAATGCAGGCTGATACTTTTCACGGTAGTAGCGGCTATTTTGGTATTTGTATTTTGAAAGTAGAGCAGACACAACAACTAATGAATCAGTCTCGCGGAAACTATCCCTGGGATCAAATACACTGTCAGGTGTGTGTGTCGTTTGCGAGCGGCAGTCTCCTACCATCTCTTATTAAGTGAGAGAGATTTTAATTCGGCACTACGTTGTAAATGATATTCCGAATTACGGCAAATTTGACAAGGATGAACATATCAACATAGCAAACTCCTAAGTAAAACATTAACGACGATTAATTGCATTTTTGTCGAATATTTGTACAGATAGTGTTGGATTTGAATATGGCCATAATTACATTAATTAATAGACTGAACAACATGGCGGTTAATAACACTATTTTAAATGTCACAGACGGTCTGAAATCTGATCACCTTGACGTAGAGATCATAGAGTTAATTAACTTGTTTTTAATATTTATGGTGATATAATACAATCATGTTGACGACCTGTGGTCTTAGTCCAATCACTTCAGGAAGCCGGAAAAGAAATGCAAAGCTGCTTTAATTTCAATCCCTTTGAAAGTTTCTTATAAAATAACTGAATAAATAAAAGCGCAGCATCTTATTTTGTGCATGAATTGAAATGTATTTGTTGATGTAACTAGTATTTGTATAAAATTTAGAAAGATTTAATTAAACTTTTCCGCGTACGTGTGAATAACGCTTGATTGCTTTCCAGTTAGGTTATGTTAACAAATTTGTTAGTTTATATAGGTATATATATATAGGTATATATTCTGGTATCTAATTTCGATATCTATATTATTTTCCATATATATATATATATATATATATATATATATATATATATATATATATATATATATATATATATATATATATATATATATGTATATATATATATGTATATATGTATATATGTTTTGACTTTATATATTTAACTTCATATACTTTATTTCATATAATATTACTTCAAGTTTGACTTCAAGTTCTTCACGATTTTCATAAATAACTAACTAAAGTTCGCTTAGCAAAGTCCGTATTTATAGTTGCATAACACCCACACATTAGCACACTATTTACATATATACAAAATCATTCAATCGTATAAACATGCTCCCCGCCCAGTCCAGAGGCGGAGCAGTCTGGACGACTACAAAATAAGTTAATGTTCTATAGAAATTAATGTTCTCTTAATAAGAGTATAAGTTTAGTCACAGGTCTGTGTAATACTCCATTCTGAGTTAAGACTTTGGCTGATCGCACAACGTTTCGGTCGTCTGGAAATGTTTCTTCAATTTTGCCCCTTAGCCACCGTCCTCTTGGCTGATTTGGGTCCAATATTAACACCAAGTCACCAGGTTCCAAATTTCGTACTGTTTGATTCCATTTTGGCCGTCGTTGAAGGCAAGGCAGATATTCTTTCTGCCACCTTTTCCAAATCTTTAACATGATGGACTGTAGAAATAGCCAACGCCGTTTTGGTGAGACTTCATCAACTTGGATTTCGCTCGGCAGCAATGGCATTAACTGTCCTGCAGCTAGGAAATGCGCGGGGGTCAGAGGCTCTACGTCATCTGGATCACTTCCTACATACGTCAACGGACGATTATTCAACATGGCTTCGCATTCAGCTGCAACGGTGGAAAGTTCATCATCTGTGAGTTGAGCTCCGTTTGTTGTAGCTGTTATCGCACGTTTTGCCAGTTTTACCATGGCTTCCCAGGCTCCTCCCATGTGAGGAGCAAAAGGAGGATTGAAATTCCAATCCAAGCCTTCTTGTTGTAGCTTCGCCTTTAGAACGACATCATTGCATAATTCTTTTACTAACTGGCGCATTTCTCTCTCTGCTCCAACGAAATTGGTCCCCTGGTCTGAAAACATCCTTTTCGGTTTCGATCTTCTGGCGACAAATCGAGAAAAAACCTTCAAGAAATCATCAGTTGATAGGGATTGGGCAACTTCAAGGTGAACAGCGCGTGTTTGTAGACATGTAAACACGACTCCATATCTCTTTTCTCGTCGACCTCCTCTAAAGCCAGCTTTGGTGGTTATAGGCCCAAAATAATCAACGCCCGTCAAGGTAAATGGTGGGTTTGGGAAGTCAACTCTCGATGCAGGAAGATCAGCCATGAATTGAACACCAGGATTACCACGCCATTTCTTGCATAGGACACAGCTCGATAAGATCTTCTTCACTTGTTCCCTTCCTCTTATTGGCCAATACCGCTGCCTCAGGTTACAGAGTACTGTGTTTACTCCAAAATGCTTCACCTCTTCGTGAGACCTTCTGACTAGAAGAGCAGCTAGATGTGATCCTTTTCCCAAAATAATCGGATGTCGACAATCATATGATAGAGGTGATCTCTCAAGACGTCC